AATGGGCTTGAACATGTCTGTTTTTACTCTTACCAGTCGAGCCCGTCTAGAATTGACCTTCCCCAGCCAAACATTAATCGCATCTATGATACCGAAGAGGATGATCAGTTCATGTTCATCTTTCTTCAGCTTTGCACTGGTGGAGACCTTTTCACCTATGTCACAGCCTACGCCGAAAAGGAGAGCCACCTGTGTGAAGCCGAGGCGAAATTCATCATGTATCAGATATTGATTGGGCTGCACTATTTGCACTCCAGAATGATATCTCACCGTGGTGTGTAAATTCACTCGATTTTATCGTCTCATAACTGACAGCAATGCAGACCTCAAGGTTCACATGTTTCCAGTTCGCAACTTCAATCGCTCACTTATCCATGTAGCCCGAAAACATTCTCCTCTACGCGCCAGGCCCATATCCTCGAATAGTAATAGCTGATTTCGGCCTCGCACGACCCAGAGCATATCAGGAAACTCTCAATGTCTGTGGAACCGTCTCGTATTTGCCTCCAGAAGGCATTCTCGCCCTCGACCAGGAGCATTTAAAATACACGGGGTGAGCGCGCAGTCAGTCGAATCAAATGGAACACCAACGGTTGTAAAAGTATGCCCTCGGATTGTTGGAGTTCAGGCGTCATTCTCTATATAATGCTCTCGTATGTTGCTCCGTTGCCCATGACTTCTCATTGACGTCTTCCCAGCGGCTGCCATCCCTTCGATAATGACACGATCTTCGACTCATCGTCGGACTGGCTAAGCCATGTACAATCCTCTCATACTTCCCAGGTATCGCGCAATTACGACCGCAACGAAGCCCGCCTCAAGTCCAAGATCATCGAGGGTGAGATGGAATTCAAACCATGTCCTTGGAATCGGTTGCTCGACGGTCAGTACCCTAACCAAATCCCTCATCTCAAGCCAGCAAGTTCCCGCCACTAGCGACTAATGCGTGGTGTTTATTTTCAAAAGCAAGGGCGCTGGTCGACAGCCTTCTCGTTCACGACTACCGGCAGCGAGCGACTGTCGACGACGCCCTACGAAGCCAATGGATCGAGAGCGAGCGGGATGACTTGAACGTTACCTATCAAAATCAAGTGCAAGTCCGCTACCACTAAATGCCTGGACTCGCTTTCGCGCGTTGCTCACTGCTGGTACTCTTGCTTTCATGCTGCTTCCTCGGTTTTGAGTTCCGGTACCCTGCTCGTATTGACTGATTGCCTCGTTCATTTGTAAAAGTACATGTTTCTGCTGCTCTGCTCCTTATTTGTACAAGTACAACGCGTAGAATGTATTGCCCTGCCTCACTCAAAGAAATTCCGCATGGACTGCATGATGTTTTCTCAGTACACGGATCATGGTTCAAAATTTTAAACCCACAGTCGATATGGTCGGCAGCAAAAGTAGAGATCTGTGACTCTTTTAGCAGGCCAATACACAAATCACGATCGCTAACTCACAAAGTAGTAACTGTGGTCGTAGCCGTCTTGGCTCCTGACCGCTACTTGACGCTCGTTATGGCCTGCATCGCGGGCGGCCTTCAAGAAATTCTCTGGGAGTAGTTGCCCCTGCTTGTAGAAATTGTCTCCCGTTCCCTGTTAGCCGTATGAATATTAGACTAACAGCCAACAGACACCGACGGCTGCGACATACGTAGTCTATCAAGATGTGAACTGGGTCTACGCGCTTTTTGATAAGTTCGGTCGCGTCGTACTGTTCAGCGGCCTCGCCGACGCCGCCTTGGAGATAGCCTTTGAACGCTTTTTGTCCCCAGGGGCAATTGACGGGGTTGCAGATTGGCGAGAAAGCGGAGACAGATCGATACTGGTTAGTCTTCGAAGCGAGGTATAGCGTGAGCGCTCCGTGTCCACCTAAAAGAATGTTCAATGGAGAAGGCGAATATTTGAGTAAAATATCAAACCCCTGCAATAGGAAATCATAAATAAAGAACATCGGTTCAGGCTGTTGTGTCTTACATGCTGTGCCCAAAAATCGACTGACGGGCAAGATCCTGCAAATTGATTTTGAGGAGCTGTCGGCGCGGAGTGTAGAAACTCAATGAAGCGACATACAATGGGCAAATCCGCGACTTCTAAGACTTGGGGCAGCTCCATGGTAACGTGTGTCAGCATATTATAGTGCTTCGAGAATTTGGGGTGTGTCGCATTGAGGTAGAAGCCAGCGCCAGTGCCAAAGTCCCAATCAGTATCTTCGCCCTCAATGCCGGCGCCGCGAGGGGATGTGTCCGGGAAGAGAAGCGCGATTCCCTTGGCGGCGGCGGGTCCGAAGAATGCGCCCTTTTGCGCTCTGCGTAAGGTCAGAACCAAGAACCAGGCGGCACGCGGAGGAGTACCCGTTGTCCTCAGTGCAGGTTAGGCCAGCGAGGTATATGAGAAGTGGAGCTTTGCTGCCGCTCGACGTCGCTTGGAATGGGAGGAAAAGATTGAAGTTTGAATCAAGGCCGCCAAGGGCAGCAGACTGCAGGGTTCAGTATTTCTGCCATTACAGCGTTGGCTGGTCCACGCCCAACTTGCCTTGAATTTGTACTTGCGCAATTCACCGCTGTGCACCTTGTTAGTGGAAACTAGTTCGAGGACGTTTGTGGCCATGGTGGGAGTTGGTGGGAATTAAGGAAGAGGTTGGAGCACGCGATCAAGGGAATCGATGAAAATTCAAGTTGCAATCTAATCTCCTATCTAGCCGATTTCAAATTTACCACAATCTAATCTCGTCGATGTCGTCATGACCATCAAGGACCCACAACCCCCAAAAACACTTGGCTCATATTCAATTTGTGGATGCGTTATCGTACAATGCATGTATGTATACTAATTAACATTATCATATCCCTAAATATCGAATACCTTCTAATAGATCATCGTCACCTCTCGCGTTGAGGCGGTTCGTCGTCAGTCCGTTGCAAAGGTTCTACTGCGCCGCTCGTTTGTTGCGGCGGCTGCGCACTGCTCGTCGGCTCGTCTAATCCCCGTGAATCCTCCGCCACGTCTACCCCTCTGCCTGCCTCGTTCCCTGTTTTCGATAGCTGCGAACCACCCAGCTGCAATTCATCCCCGGTAGCGTCCCCTTTCTGCTGTTCTACCGGTGGCTGACCCTCGACCTCCCCAGCAAGCATGTCGGCGATGCCGAGATAAAATGTCGCGGGGCGGAACGTTATCTCGCGGCCCATCATCTCTGCCCACTTGTACTGCGCAGTGTTAATCCAGCCGACGAGATTTAGGTGCGAGACACCTTGTAGCGTGCCAAGGTATGTGCCCTGTATAAAAAAACTAAGCGGAGAACTACACCGGAAAATGGTAAAGACACGCACCCACTTGGACGATGCGACGGATACGAGTCCGTCGTTCTCGCCTTCGTGCTCGAGGACGACCGAATGCGGCCATTTCCATGTGTCAATGAGGCCCGGCTCGTACGTTGCGCCCCAGCTAAAGTACCGCACGGCAGGGTCGTCCGGCGTCTCCACGTTGAACTTGCGCATGCTCTCGATTGTGAGGCATTCGAACGCCTTACCGTCGCCACCGCCGTTCGGGAGGAGGTCAAGCAGCGACAGCACAGACGGCATACGCGCGCGACCCACGGTGGTAAGAAAGTGGTTGGCAAAAGCAGATCCGCGGTGCGGTGTCGCGATCGTCGTGATACTTAGCACGTTAAACTTGCGCTGGGTGAGGTGGGTCGTGAGATAGCGGCAGTCAAGGCCGCCCTATAAACCTATTTGTCAGTGGCAGGAAGGAGGCGTCAAAGGGAACTGCCCACCATGCTATGGCCTGGGGACTTTTATTTAAAGGGCGTCAATGAGGGAGACAATAGGCGTACCGATGAGATGTACGCTCCTGCCAGGATACGCCGCAGATATTTTCTCCTCGAGAACTTTGGCGCGATCGACGGGGCTGCTCGTGGCTGGCACGCGAGTGATTAGAACCTCTGTGCCATTTGCCTCGAGGACCTCCTTGATACCGCGCCAATGCGTGACTTCCATCGGCGCAATGGCGGGACCAATGGTGACTGAATCGAATCCTAGCAGACCATGGCAGAAGACAACAGGGTTTTTCGGCGAGCGGTCTGTGAAATTAGTGAGACAAAAAAATCGTGAAGGAACGGAAACAAGCACATTTGCTTTGGAGTAAACGCTGTTCTTGCTGCACGCTGTCCGCACGGTCGTCCTGGTCAAGGAGAGCGTCGACGTTTTCCTTATTTTCGGACTGGAACCACCAGCGGGCAATGGGAGATTCGGATGCGGCAGGAGGTTGCGTAGGGGTAGCTTGGAGAGAATTCGTGCGACGATGGTCGCGTAGGGACACTGAGCGCAATATCCCGACCGACGAGCCTCTGGGCGGCGATGAATTGACTACAGGTACGTCATACGAGTTCTCTTCGGACGAGGGGGAAAGAGAAGCGGTTGGGAGGGTAGAACGGGTGAGATTGTCGAGGAACGGCGGCGGACGCGAAAGGGCGCGCGAGGCGTTGAATGAGTGAGGAAGGTGTGCACTCGCGGGAAAGGTTATTGGCTCGGTAAGAGCCTCATTTAGAGACGCGAGACTTGGAGATGGAGGACATGAGGACGGTGGGGAAGCGTCAGGCGACGTGCGTCCATACGGACTCCAATTTCCAAGCCAGCGAAGAATGGGCTGGGTAGAGGGAGGAACGAGTTGCACTGCAGACTTTCGTGCCGCCTGCATCCGGGGGTCCACTAGGGTTTCTAGTCGTTGTGCAAGTGGTGTACGTGGCCGCGAACCACACTGATCGTTTGCAGGATTATTGGCGGAGTCGGCCTCACTTTGGTTTCGGTCCATGAGCAGGACACATTGAGGGAGTCACGCGTGACTCGTTTGCGCTGACGTCACGCACGGTGCGTTCCTCACACGACCATCTAACATTGATCTCTGCCTGGTCGCGATTCTTGAGGCAGGAAGCCTTTTACTTAGTGGATGGACCAAAGCGCGAATGTGAGTTTTCCTAATTCGTGGAAAAGTAAAAAACGCAAAAAGAAACTCTCGACCTGGGAGTCGAACCCAGCTTTCGCGCGCAGTGGTATACTCAATGAATAATGACAAGCGCGTGTACTAACCGATATACTAGTCAAGACATACGTATGGGTGGAAGTCCCCTCCTATACTGTCCAAACTGCACTAGACCGCAAAGCGAAAACCACAGACCGCGTTTAGCAGATATCTAGTCAAGCTCCATAATGTTCTGGATGGCCCGTACGCGCAACACTTACACCCTGGGGGGAGCTCGCTCGCGCTCCCGGAGGCTAGACCCGCGGTTGCCTTTGAGATCGTAAATGTTAACGCCAACAGGTGCACAGTCTGGAAAATGTTTATAGCTATATGATCTCCACACAAAATGAAGTTCCCTATCTTGGCTTCCGTTGCAGCTGCAAGAAATCATCCAGGCAAGGCTCATCTCCGATGAACTTATTGGCAAATAGACAGATCTCGTCCGAATGAAGAAATGCGCAAGGGGCTTGTATCAATTCAGTTCGTTGGCGTACACGCTTGAGGAATCAAACCGCCCACTGTCGTTCGTTTCGTTCAACAGGTGATGTCCAGTGCCGATTCAGACACAGAACGGGCTCACAAGGTCCTGCCAGACGATGTGGATGGACAGATTGCTGTTGACACTGCGCGCAAGCTTGGTTTAGCCGAGGAGTTTCTGTAAATCCTATCGCATTTGGCAAATGCACGCCATTCCTGAATCAAAAAGGCAAGTTGAAAGTTGAGAGCAAGGTGAAGTTCAGATCAAATGCGTGGGAACCTGATCGCGTGCTTGCGCCAATCATCGGGAATGTCGGACTTTCAAGTCATTGACCGCCATGTCGCAGGCTTTACTGCCATCCGTCTTGCCCTCGCGTCCGGCTGTGTCGGACGGTACGCTCCGCATGCCTTTGTATGTTCTTGCTCATACTGCCCAGTGACCACAACCGCTGAAGACCTCCTCGCCGCCCAAGGTCGCGCAAAGGTTACCTCTTCCAAAGAGTAGGCTTGCCCCTCCTCTGTCGACTGGAGCGCTCACCGGACGCGTTTTAGGACCCCACTCTTCATTTGCGCTTTCCAAGGTACGATTCTCTTGCTAGACGCGTCCATATATTTTTAATTCATCGTTTTTCGTTCGTTAGACTGCTTTCGTCTATTCCCCACGCGCGAGAGAATTATGACCCATCGTAAGCGCGACCACAATTCCGACGAAACAGACCATGTCATTACCTGGAATGAATAATCTAATACAACATACATAATACAGTCCGAGTCCCATCCACCCATCCGGCCCGAGAGATAAAATACAGTATGTACTGACTAACTTGATAGCAAAAGTGGCGAAGCAGTATAGCAGCAGTCGGACAGTCAGAGAGATTCAGCATCTAGCTCCACGAGCGCAAAAAGCCCCCCATCTGCACGCGTGGCGTCGGCGCAGTGATCAAGGGCGGCGCGTGCGCGTCCACCCCCAGGTCCAGGCCCAGCGCGTTCTCCACCGGCGTTTGCTCTGCTGGAGCGACCATGCCAAACTCCGAAGCAGCAGGGAGCTGGGAAAAGCGCCGCGGGACGGTGCGCTGTCGGTTGTTTACATGCGTCGTGCGTTGCAGCGAGCTGTTGGGGTCGTAGGACACCACGTCCTCCAGCGTCGGAACCGCGTTCCCAGGGAGGGAGTAGCTGTGCGTATGTGCTGGGCGCTGGGCGGGAGCCGGGCCGGCAGCAAAACCAAGCGGGCGCATGCTGTCCTGCCTCGGCGTCGTCACCAGTTCATGGCCTAATATCCCCTCCGACGATGCCGTAGAGTTGCGTTGTGAGGGTTGCGTTGGGGGCGGCCTCATGTGGGGGAAGTTTGGCATATCCTCCAAATCACTCATGCTCCCCCGTGTCGCGGGCGAGTCGTTCGTGTGGACGGTCCCCCACGACGAGTAGCTTTGCCGGTTTTGCCGGGTGCGCTCTTGCCTCGCGCGCCGGTCGGTCATGCGAGCGTTCTCGTCGCGGTCTCGCGCCTGTATGTCGAAGCGCACTGTCACGTCTTGGTGAGCAGTAGGTGGGGCATTCGCCAGTTGCCATGCAGACGGCGCATGCCCGAGCCCGTTAGTGAGGTGGCCGTCGAGCTGCACGGTGCTGCGTCTGAACGCGGACGGCCGCATATGAGAAGTGCCTGCTTGCGAGGAAATTGAGGCGTCGTCGACCGTGCTGGTGTGGCTGGGCGGCGGTGCTATATACGCATGCCGGCGGCGCACGGGCGTAGTTGCCTGCGCCGATTCCACTGGACGCGACATAGGTTGTGCGATGGCCGCTTGGGCAGCGCCCGACCCAGAGAGTCGCAGGTTGCCGATCGCGTTCTCGAGCGAGTCTTGTGGGTTTACTGCGCGCGGCGGGAGCTGGTACGCCGAGGTCGACGCGTGGTTAGACGCATGGTTGTGGTTGATAGTGTTCGCTTCGTAGGCCTGTGCCTGTGCGTACCAACTCGGGTACTGGTCGCCGTTCACACCATTCGCCGCGCCGTAGCCCTCTCCGTACCCGTTCGCATACCCATCAACGTAGGCGGACGCGGGCGCGGGCGTGTGGTACGCGTGGTTGGTCACTTCTTCTGAAACGCGCTGGCCATAGATGGACGCGGTGTGGTGTGCATGATTAGTCGCATCTTCTGAAGTAGGGATGACGCGCTGACTCGGCGTCGCGCCAGGAATGATTACATTCCCAGTCGTGTTAACGAAAAGGTCGCGCTGTGGCTGTTTGCCCTTGCCCTTGTCCGTGGGGGGTGGTTCGGCTTGAGGAAACAGGTCGTAGAGCGGGCGACCGGGGGTGAAGTACGCGTCGTATCCTTCCTTGGATTCGGCAGCGGCGCGGGCAAAGGCAGGGAAGCGGTCCAGGGGAACGGGCTCGGGCGGCGCAGGGAGCGGGTTCACCTTGTGCTGGTATTTGGCGAGCTCAGTGCGCAGGGGGTTCACCTGGGCCTCCAAATCAGCGATCTGTGGGATACAAGGGTGAGATGATTGATGGTGACCGCGACGACAGGATGGGACTTACCTGGCTAGATACAAGGATGTGCGCTCGAATCAGTGGCGTTATTGCGAGGTAAAAAAAACGCGCACGCGGTAAGTTCTGAGACCTGGGCAAGTAAACTTGCCTCGACAGCCTGGTGGGTGTCGCTCCTCTGCTCAGTTTCCTCGATGAGTTGCTGTATCTGGCGCTCGGAGCGTCTGATTCTGCACTGAAGATTAGCGGCGTGCGCGTGTATTGTTAGAGCTCCCTCACTTTTGCCTGTCCTGCAGCCTCCGCTCGCTCATCTTGTTGTAAACCTTAAACGCCGCCCAGGCCTTGCGGAGGGCGAGGTGCTGAACGAGCAAAAGCGGGTCAGAGACGGTGTATACGACGGCGGCGACAGTACATCATCCTCCGGGCGGCCTTCGAGCCATGTATTGAGATCTTCCGAGATGAGTGTCTGCTCGTCGGTATCTGCGTCGAAGGCAAGTGCTAGACGGTGCAACAGATCGCGCGCTGCGTCCGACTCTGGCGGTTCTACGTGCAGTTTTTTGACGCGATCGCTGTAGAAAGCTTTCCGACAGAGTGGGCAATTTGGGGGCTGTATACTGAGCAAGCAACTGCCAAAAAGGATTCCGAGTCAACACCGCACACGAGGCTCATTGGGTTACTCACCTTCTGCAGAAAATGTGCCCACAGGGAATGGCGTGGGGGGCGTCATCGGGGGTCTGCCACGTATATTCGTTGAGGCATACATCGCAGGTCGATGATTCATGCAGCACGAGCGGCATAACGCATTGGGAGAAGGAACGTTACAAATGTTTGGCGGAGGCGTGCGTTTGTGGACAGCTCTGAGCGCTACTTTGGCGCTACTTGCATGTACAGCTTTCAACTTTGTACCCTTGCACTGGCGAATTGGAGCAACTTGGCTAGCATATCGACTCGATATCGAAGGCTTCAATCATCAAACTCGTCAGCTTGGCCGTCCTTGATTCTTGGCGTACCTTCTTGCTCAGACCTTGTCGGTTACAAGACTTTACTCTCTGAATTTCACAAGCACAGACAGACGGACTCCAACAGTCCTCGCGTTGTATGACACGCAATCAATCGAGATGCCTTGCTCGGGACACGGATGTCATCATTGACTGAGCTCGAAACTGCGTTCACGTTCACGCGCATTACTGCTTCATGCAGTGCGTGCTAGGGAAGAACGAGATGGACCGACTTGTTGGAGACGAAACACGAACGTGCATTGGCGCGACGTGCGACTCAGGCGCACACCACTGCGCGTCCATGAGAGGTGCTATCTCCGTTCAAGTCTAAAACCGTAAAACTGATTCGTCTTGTCTCCAGTTCATTGTGGAATTCAACACTTTTTTTTGTGGCCAAGCCCCTGAGTCCTCCACTATTAGTATCAACGGTACAATGAGTGGTCTATTTATTGCTTTCGTGGGCATTACCTCCGGTCAAAGATGGCTTGGCCGTCTAGCGAATCACCTCCCCCGAAGCTTTCGGGTAGGATGGTATTCGCTATATGAGGTTCTTCGAGAGAACATGCCATACATCCGACCAGCCTGTACGAAATTGAGGCCCCGGTCCCCCAAGCACCAAGTACGAAGTATGATCGTTCTACGAAAATGGCCACGACGAGTTCATGTTCTACGTGCACACGGAGTGACTCTGGCTTGTTGTTATGAAGTAAATACGCGTTAAGTGGTGTGGATACTTGGTGAAATTCAAAGAACCTCTTCGGATGTTTTCGGTTGTTTCGCATCAGCGTGGCTTCACTACGAGTGATTTGGTGATTGCGCCGTCTGGTGTGCAAGTTCATGCCGCTGTCTGCCTCTCGAGCCATTACCCGCTGACTTGCCAACGATACCGTCGCTATTTGGATCCAGATCCCGAAGAATGTCCTTCTTCACGAGGAAGAAGCAGCAGCCCCAGCCCCAGCAGCAGCCAAATGTAACTGTCGCTCAGACTCCCAGCCAGGCACTTGCACAACTCCAGGCTGCTGCAAAGGACCCTTCGCAACAACAACAGCAGCAGCAGCAACAGCAACAGCAAAATCCCCGGGGGAATGAGCCTCTGGACTTGTCAGTGTCTCATTTCAGACTGGAATTATAC